TTAGTCCACCACAAATATTTTTGATCTATGGTTGGCTGAATCCACAGATGCAGAACACATGGATATAGAGAACTGACTGTATATATCTTTTCCAGTATTTTTCCAGTCAGCCTGCTGGGGGCTACTTTGTTGTGTTTGTCAATTAATCTTTCCTAAAAATAAAAATAGAAGAATAATACTGCTCATAGGGCTTTTATTATTATTTTTATTTCAAAATACTTCTTCTAGATTCACTTATATTTGAAGGTCTGGTTCAATTGCAGCAAACATCATTAGTCCATTAAGTCTTTTACTTTTTGAATATTTAATAGGTATAAGTGCTGGGATACATGTCGTTAAAACATGGCCCCTGCCTTCAGGGAGCTTATAGGATCCTAATTTGTATTGATCTTTAAGGCAGTTCACATTGTATTTTCTTAAATGAATTGTGCAATCATACCACCACCGAAGTTGTCAAATATTTCTGGAATCTGTAGTCTCCCTTTTTCTGTTAAATCTAAAGCCTTTAATGAAATTGAAACATGACCTAAAGGGAGGATCTTTTAAAGAAAAATTGGGGGACATTTCATGAAATGTGATTTATACCTGATGTGAGCCTTTTGAGAATTATTGTGGCCATTGAAATTTAAAATAGGAAACAACTTCTATTAAATAAAGCTTACGTTTATCTCCCCTTTTAAAGTATAAAACGGTAAAATATTGGAATAGATTATTGATTCTTGGCCATTATCCATTTAAAGTTTAGCAGCTAAGTCATGTGCTGGAGTTTCTATATCTTTAAAACTGGAAAAGATGGAACAGTTTGAGTGTGGGAAGGATCATGTGAGCCGGCCCTTAAGCACAGAGTCCAGGAGGGGGCGCAACTCAGTTCTTCACCTCTGGCTCCCTTTATCTACTGAGGAAAAGGGGTGCCCAGGGTGGAGATATGGGGCAGCTCTTTCACCATCATCACCTTATGGCTCCCACATCTCAGTGGACTTGGGGTCTTTCCTTCCTTCTCCTCTAGGAGAAGCTTCAGGGTGTCCTCCCACTTCATCCCCTTCTTAGCAGGCCACTGGGTGCTTTCTTTCCACTCTCACGAGCTCTCTCCCTCTTAGTTCTGAGATGTCAGTCTCTTACTTCCATCTAGGCTTCTCCTGAGTGAACCAGAAAGGGACTTCTAGTCTCAATGAAAATGCCTGTTTTCAGAAACATGTTCCACGATCTCCCACTCTAAAATTAGTTCCTTCATTTTCTCACCCCTTCTGTTATTTCCTCTCACAGAACCTACTCTTTTTCCTCATACTTTATAGAAAGGAATATTTCATTCCCATTTGTGATACTTACTTGTTAATCCTTGCTTTCCCCATCTAATTGGAAGCTACATCTCTCACAGAACCTACTCTTTTTCCTCATACTTTATAGAAAGGAATATTTCATTCCCATTTGGGATACTTACTTGTTAATCCTTGCTTTCCCCATCTAATTGGAAGCTACACGAGATCTATCTTGTTTACTAATATTTAGCCAGAGTATCGCATGTGTTCAGTAACTCAGAATGCTTCAGACACTCTACAAATAAACAGGTGGCTCCTTTTAGATACACTGGGTTTTTATTTTTAAGCTATAAAATGTTTTTATTTGGTTAGATTCCAATGTTTCCCATCAAGCTAAACCAAAAACAATTTTTTTCTCCCTTATATCTAACACCGTAAAATTCTTGTTTTGTTATGAAGAATTATTCTACATTTTTGTCCTTGTCACTCTAAGCTGAAAGGTGGAAGGCTGTGTGATCCCACTGTGTTTGTCTCACTATAGGATGACCTTTATATATTTTTTTCTGTTACTTTCTCAATATAGAAGTTTTCAGTATGACTTTGAGTTGCCTACAGTTTTAAAGAAACAGGGAAAAAACAGAAAGCTTCCAAACTGGTTAGTCCAGTTAAAGCACTTAAGTGGCTTAAGCCTTTGATACTAGTTAAACCAGGCAAGGAAGTTAGTAAGACTGGAAGGCTTTCAAGGATAATTTACTCTTTTTTTTTTCTTTCACTCCATCTATGGGGGACTGTAAATGATGACATTTTTCTGTATGTGGCTTGGAAGAGGGGAGGGCATGGCCTGGATGAGAGCCCCCCCACCACCTGCTTGGGGATTGGGGGACTGAATTGTGAGGTTTAAAGAAGATATTACATGGACTGCTCTGGCTTCCATATAGAATGAGCTCATGTGTTTTATGATTTTGAACTTGTCACTTCCCAGCTCTGGCTTCCTCCTCTGTAAAGTGAGGAGGATGTTGGCATGCCCTCGGCACCCCTCCACTCTGATAAATGTCTGTAGTCTAAGAAACAAATATTTATTGGTGGATTATATGCGACCTGTGCCAGAGATTCCTACCTGCTGCATAGAGTCTGCATTAAAATTTTATGTCAAGAGTAATGGGGAGAGAGTTTTGTTTGTCACCTTCACCAAAGAGAGGCATAAAGCCAATAGACAGTGGCCTGAGATTATTTGGAAGTGGGAGAGGGTAGTTTTTGACAGGGGCATGAGTACAGCTTCTTTGGGGAGATGGTGTATAACCTGGGACATCCATGATGAGCAAAGCAAGCCATGGGAGGAAGAAGATCGCAGGGGAAGGAGGTGTGAGCAAACGCCATTTAGTGTGACAGAACTTAGTAGGCTCAAAAAGTGACAGCAGCATCCTGTTTAGAATGGTGTGGAGGAGAGAGCACAGACAAAGCTGGTGGGGTCTGCAGGGAGCAGATTATGCAGGGATTGTGGGCCAGGAAGAGATTGATACCAAAGTGCATGGAGCAGGTTGATTTGTGGAAGGCAAGGACTCTGGCTGATGTGGGGAGCCATGCTGGTGAGGACAGATGGGATTGGGAGACGAGACAGAAAGTGTCCGAATGAGAGATGAAAGCCTCCTCCAGCACGACCTGCTCTAGATGTGGAAGGTGGGCTCCTCTGAGGGACATCCTGGAGATATGGGGACAGGATTTCTGGGATTGTGGGATTTTACTTTTAAAATTTTTTTATCTTGCCTTTGATTCTCTTCTCCCATTATCTCCGTGAGGACATGAATGAATTCACTTATTGTGTGCCTTTTTTGTTTATGCCAATGCCTAGAGCAGGACCAGGTCCTTGGTGCTCAGCATGCACTTGGTGGATGAAGGAAAGCATCGGTCTTTGTGTCCATGCTCTATATATCATGTCAGTACTCCAGCCCATGAGATGGTCTTGAAGAAGGCAGCAGATGTTCAAAGTGGCAGGAAAGTCAGGACCAAACCACACATTCTGGGGTTTCCTTTAAGAATGAGAAACTGAACCCTAACATAGGGCCAATGTATGCCCCAAGGACAATCCATCCAATGCCACTTGTTTGCCCCCCGTGCCCCACTGATTGGGTTAGGTGCCAGTTCCTCTGTATCTCATGGTAGCCTGCTCTTGCCCCAACACCCCACTTAGGATTTTGCACCTCACTTGAGGGTTTATGTGCCTGTGTCTTCCCAGTAAACTAACTGCATGCTTCGTGTGTCTCCTGCACAGTGGTGTGCCTGGCATGGGCACCTGAGTGTCTGACACCTTGCTGGTGCTCAATGAATATTTGTTCATTGAATCACTCCTCATCACCAGTCTTCCAAGTTGCTGAAATCTAGAGAATGTAAAGCACTTCTCCAATGGTTATTTTATTTCCCCTTGTTAGGTGGTCAGGGCAGGAATTCCCCCCATTTTGCACATGTAGAAGGTAAAGCCTAGAGTACTGGCTCTCAAGTTTGTTTGTGCATTGTGATAGTCACCTGGGCAGTTTAAAAAAAGTCACATGGACATGTGACATGATGCATTAGTCACATGGGCAGAATTTTTCATTTTAATGCTATGGGATTCTGCCTGAGAGAGAGAGAGAAAGAGAGAGAGAAAGAGTGTGTGTGTGTGTGCGTGCGTGCACGTGTGTGTGTGTGTGTGTGTGTGTGTGTGTAAGAACCCCAGGTGATCCTAATGTTCAGCAAAGTTTCAGAATTCCTGGCTTCTCTCACCGTGTGTGTGTGTGTGTGTGTGTGTGTGTGTGTGTGTAAGAACCCCAGGTGATCCTAATGTCCAGCAAAGTTTCAGAATTCCTGGCTTCTCTCAGTGCTTCTCAAACTTTAATGGGCATACAAATCCCTGGGGATCTTTATAAAATGCAGATTCTAATTCAGTAGGTTAGGGGGGAGACCCAAGATTGTGCATTTGTAAAAAGCTCCTGGTTGACGCCAAAGCTGCTGTCCACACTTTTGTAGCAGAGCCTGCATGTCAGGGAGCTCTGATATCCCGAGAAGAGTGGGTAGAGCACATGCTGAAAGACAGGCTAGAGCATGTCACAGCTGCAGCATCAGATACAAAGAGACACGTACTGTGCCATGAACTTGGATACCAAGACTGGGATCGGGTGGGCTTGCCTAAGTCCCCTCCTTCTTCTTGATTTAGCAGATATGCCTCTTTATGATAGTGCAGCTCATCTGATTCCTGAGACCCCCACTTAGAGATCATCACTCCTTCCTCTGCCATCCTCACGCCTCCTTTTATGTATTACTTATGAAATCAAGATGGAATACCTTTGTTTTTACCACCTACACCAAGAACTCCTGAGGGAGGGAGGCTGTTTTTGTATTCATCCCTCTGTCCAGTGTCTGCCAGGTCATAAATCCACAGGCACCCAGGATGTCACCCGGCTCAGCCCTTCAGGCACAGACATCAAGATTGGCAGCCCAGCAGTTAGAAGCACTGCCTCCAGAGGCGGAGAACTCTGAGTGCCAAGACTAGCTTTCCTACTTGCTGTCTTGGCCTTGGTTTTCTCCTCTGTAGCATGGGGGTGTTCATAATCGCATCTTGTAATGGAGCAGATAAAAATGAGGTGATACATGTCCAGCACTTAGCACAGTGCCTGCATGCGGGAAGTTGTCAAGAAACAATTGCTAAAAAATCAACCCATGCAAAAGGGATGCGTGGAATTACGAACATTTTCTTTGTGCTTGGCCTTTTAGTCAGGTCTCATAAGGACACGAAAAAATGAATTCCTCATCTCGCCATTACCTCAGCTGCTGGCCCAGGAACACAACTACAGTTTCCCTGGGGGCCACCATCCTCACGTACTGTACAAAAGGACAGCAGAGGAGAAAGTCCAGCGGTACCGTGGCTACCCCGGCTCCAGCCGGAACGCTCCTGGTCACTCCCCACGTCTCACTTTCCATGCATCTCAGAGCCAAGAGAGAGAGTATCACCATCGAAGGTTGCAAAAGCAGCATTTTTGTGGACGACGCAAGAAATGTATGTAAGGAAACTTTCTTGTTCTGTTCTCTGTGGGCCTCCACGGGTTTTCTTGAGTACCGTTGGGTGTGCGGACTTTGCAGGTTAAAATGGGGCTACGCTGAGCACCGCCTGCAATTTATCTTGGAAAAAGACCAGTGATCATCTCTGTCAGGCAAAAGCTGGGTGATGCATTCTTCTAGGTTAACCAGGAAAGAGTGAGATATGTTTTCTTGTTGCTCTTTTCATGTCTGCTGCATTTAAGCCGCAGGTCCCAATCTTATCTTGGTTTCTGTCCTCTTGGGAAAAGTACCTACAGTTCAAATGCCTAGGAGTGGTTGGGTGTCCTTTTGGTAACATGAAGAAAAGACTCCCCAAGAAACAAGAATATTGGCACGTGAGGGGAGGTGGCAGTGAAACACAGAGATCCTTGGACAGGGTTTGTGACCCAGGAACAAACTTCTGTGTTTTCTAGACCAGCAATGTCCAATAAAAAAAAAATGCAAGCCCCAAATATAATCTTAAATTTTCTAATAGCCACATTTAAAAAAGGTTAAAAAAATTAAATTAATTTTAATTTAATTTAACATTTTATTTAACCCAATATATACAAGATATTATTATCTCAATATGTAATCAATATAACAAATTATTAATGTGGGATTTTACATTCTTTTTTTCATATTAAGTTTTGGAAATCCAGTATTTATTTTATACTTAACAGCACAATTTCAATTCAGATGATAAATTTTCATCAGAAATACTTTGTATTTAAATTTTATAAAATTTAAGTTTGAAAAAAGTAGATTTACATACTCAAGTTGTTCCAAACCTACTTAAAAGTTTTTCAATAACTAAATCAAGTGTTGCTATTTTAATTTAAATTAAATTAAATTAAAAATTTAATTTCTCCATTGCATCAGCCACATCTCAATGGCTCAGTAACCACAAATAGCAAGTGGGCACCGAGTTGGACAGCAGAGCCAGATGCGGGTTCTCTTGGAGAAGAGAAACTGGCATCACTGAGATATTAATCAGGAGCAGTAACGAAAGACAGTGTTTCTCCTTTTTTAATTGGTTTTGGGTTTTTTGGTGTTTTTGAAATATTCTCATTAAGGAACATTCACTTAGCATGTATCTATAATAACAGCAGTACAGTGGTCCCCCCTTATACTCGGGATATGTCCCAAGACCCCCAGTGCATGCCTGACACTGCAGATAATACCCAACCCTGTATGTACTATGTGTTTTCCTATACATACATACCTCTGATAAAATTTAATTTGTAAATTATGCACAGTAAGAGATTAACAACAATAACTAAAAATGAAATAGAACAATTATAACAATATATTGCAATAAAATTTATGTGAGTGTGGCTTCTCTCTCTCTTTCTTAAAATATCTTATTGTTCTGTACTCAGCTATTTTCAGACCATGGTTGACTGATGAAAACAAAACTGCAAATAAGGGGGGACTATGGTATTAATAATAGTCATGAGATTTATAGTGCTGAGGATACATATAGTGGTGATGATATCAAAGTGGATCTTTAGAGCAGCCTTATGAATAGGTATCATACTCTGCATGGATGAGAAAACCGAGACTCAGGGTCAAAGGGCTGGTAAGTGGCCAACCCGAGTTTTTAAAATCTAACTCTACGTGATCTTTTAATTTCACTCTGTGGAGAGCTGACTTCACTTAGTAACTTATGAATAGGTATCATACTCTGCATGGATGAGAAAACCGAGACTCAGGGTCAAAGGGCTGATAAGTGGCCAACCCGAGTTTTTAAAATCTAACTCTACGTGATCTTTTAATTTCACTCTGTGGAGAGCTGACTTCACTTAGTAAGGCTCTACCTGTTGTTGTAGGATTAAAATATTTTTATGCTAGTTAGTATATAGTTACTGTCCTGAGCCTTCCAAATGTCCTTTTCCTTCCTAGGAGTCCTTGGATTTGTCACTATCCATTAGCTAAAGGTCATGTCTTGCCTCCCGGGTGCTTTCAGGTCTCTGCTCAAAGGCTGTGGACAGTATTCATTTTGATAAGTTGGTGCCCACACCTTACCAGTTTAGAAAAGTGTTTGATACAGTTTTTAGTATGACCCCTGACTATGCTGTTTCCACAATAATTAAGTCAAAATCAGGTCAAAGAGCCCTTACTGACCACTTACATTGATGGGACAAGAGTATAAGGCATGGGCAGTGTTTTATAAGAGTTACATTTTATTTAGAAAATAATGTATAAAGTGTTGTCATGAGGGCTGGCCCGTGGCTCACTCGGGAGAGGGCGGTGCTGATAACACCAAGGCCACGGGTTCAGATCCCATATAGGGATGGCCGGTTTGCTCACTGGGTGAGCGTGGTGTTGACAACACCAAGTCAAGGGTTAAGATCCCCTTACCGGTCATCTTTAAAAAAAATAAAAATAAAAATAAAGTGTTATCATGAATTCAGATCCAAAGGATAATGTCTGTTTCTACAGTTTTTGAGTAATAAGATGAGCATTTTTTTTCCTTTTAAAAGACTCCTCCCACAAAGTTGACTTTTGTTGACTTGCTCTACCAACTAGAATTGTAGCTTGTTTTCTTTTGCTCTTTAGAGCATTTTTGAGTTACTGAATCCACCCATCCACCCACCCATTCATCCATCCACCCACTTATCTACACATCCATCCACTCATCCATGTAGTTATCCACTCATTCACTCATCTTCCCATCCAGCCATCCATTCATCCATCCATTTATCTACCCACCTGTCCATCCATCCACCCACCCACCCATCTATCCATCCACCCATTGACCCACCCACCCACCCATCCATGCATCCAAACATCTCTTGAGTGGATCTTTCTTGACCACATAATAGGTACAAAGTGTGGGAGCGGGCACTGACAGCATTACTTGTTAGTGGATTAGTGAAGTGTCGGTTACATAGTTTTTCTCCTCCTCTTGTTTAGATTACTCTCTCAGTCTATCTCACCCAGATAATCTGTACTGATATCCCTTCCAAATGCTCTTATGTTCATCGTAGATGCCCCCAAGCCTCCCACAGAGGACACCTATCTAAGGTTTGATGAATATGGGAGCTCAGGGAGACCCAGAAGATCAGCTGGAAAGTCACAAAAGGGCCTAAACGTGGAAACCCTTGTGGTAGCAGACAAGAAAATGGTGGAAAAGCACGGCAAGGCAAATGTCACCACGTACATTCTCACAGTAATGAACATGGTAAGGGAGGTTGTCATGAGCCCTCTGGCTCTCCAAAGGAGCTGGAAATCATAGGATCCCCTTGCATGGATTGCATAGCAAATATAGCCACATGGTTTTACTGAAAACAGAAAGTTGAGTTTTGAGGAAGTTGTCTTCATGTGTACATGTTTGTGGTAAAATTGAAACCTACAGACTTGTAAATATGTCTGATTGGTTTCCCCCATACAGTTTTGAAAATTTTGGATTTTGTTTGATTTCCATTGTTTCAACAGGTTTCCAGCCTATTTAAAGATGGGACTATTGGAAGTGACATAAACATTGTTGTGGTGAGCCTCATTCTCCTGGAACAAGAACCAGTAAGTGGCAAACTTCATTTATTTCTTTATTTATTCTGCCATTCAGGATATATTTATTGAATACCAACTCTGTGCCAATTCATGTGCGAGTCGTTGGAAATTCAAATTTGAAAATATGCTGACTCTATCCTCAAGGAATGTGCAATGTAGTAAGGCTGTGTAATAAAATAATTAAAACACCACAAAATAATTGTTATATATAAATATACTTTATAGATAATACATATGCATATGTAAACACAAACAATGGCACATAAAATATTGTTAAATATACATATACGATATAAATAAAAATATAGATATTATATAAAGAAAATACTAATATTATGTAGGCTTCACAAGGAAGGTGAATTAATCACACATTTAAAGATTAGTTGGATTTTGCAAGTTGGATATGCCGGGTAATTGCAGGTAGATGCAAAAATATTTCAAAAATATACTGAAAATTAGTTATCAGAAAATTCTTGTAGTAAATCTGCTGTTTCTCCAGCACCATCTTAGGTGCTACAGAGAATAAACAAGGGATATTTAACTGCCTTCAAATTGATTACAGTCGGGTGTAGGACACAAACATGGGCAAATTATAAAACTAGAACATATAATAAAGTGTTAAATTGCATGGTACTTACTGCTTTGTAGTGTTTTGATGTTTAAACTGTATTTTTCTGAGATAGAGATTACCAATAAAACAGACTACTTTTTAAGTCCCCTGAGGCTTTTCCTCTTCATTTGTAACCCCAATAAAGAATGTAACAAGCAGGGAGTCAGAGACAAGAAAAAATTGATCTAATTGCCCAGGTGTGTAGGGCTACAGAGGCTAACAACTTGTAAAACTGTTCTTGGAATTTTAGAAAGATAGAAAAGGGTGTGTGTTGGTTGGAAGACACTTTTGTCTTTAGCCTACCACTTAGACATTGCCCAAGGACATTGAAGGCAGCGGCATCCTAATTCACTGATAATTAAAGATCGTGTCTAAGAACCCTCAACTTGACCCGAAGTCAATAGTTTTGACTAAGCAAACATTTTGATAAATCATTCTTTTAAGGGTACATCCTGTCTTACCCATTAGAGTCTTATAACTATGTGTTTATTCATTCAGTGAATTTTCATTTTATCGATGGATTGACCAATTGTAACCTATGATGTGCCAAACCCTCTGCAAGAAGTTTTGACATTGAGTTAAATAAGCTATGGTCATGTGCTCTATTGAAGAAGCCATTGAACTTTATCACATTAATTTATTATTATGTTCTAAAAGTTATAACAGTTTTATGAAGTTAGTACCAGGTAAGATGAACAAAGGTGTTCCTAATTGATACACAGTTATTTGTTGTAAAAATATAATTGATTATAAACTACACTACTGAAACTTTATAGTTTCTATAAATATTGTGAGCATTTAACCTACAATAGATTTTTTTCCTGTCTCCTACCTTAGCTCAAGTTTTTTCCTCTACTGACCTTTTCCCCTAGAAACATGATGTTTCTGTGTTTGCCTGTACAAATGGAACGATTCCATGTTCTCATCTCTGTGACAAATTCACACTCTGATTTGCATGGGTTTCCCATAGGGTGGATTATTGATCAACCATCATGCAGACCAGTCTCTGAATAGTTTTTGTCAGTGGCAGTCTGCCCTCATTGGGAAGCATGGCAAGAGGCATGACCACGCCATCCTACTCACGGGATTTGATATTTGTTCCTGGAAGAATGAACCGTGTGACACTCTAGGTATGGTATGAATAGATTCATGCACAACTGATAGCTGAAAACAGAATATGGAAACTTTTTATTGAATGGGTGAACCATATGATCCTCAATAAAAAGACCTAGTATTTAAATTGTGGAGCATCCTCATTGTACCACTGGTGAATATTGTTCTATTTAACTGAACTCAGTGTGGAATGGAGAGCTCATGTACTTTATTCCTTTGGTATTTTTCTTTATTGACCCTGTTGATGATCACCGGGTCATGAGATATAACGTTGTTTAAATAGAAAAGTTGTAGGTTATTCCATAAGCATCATAACCACAGATCCAAGTAGCTGAAGAGACTTTGACTGGTCTCCATGTCCCGGGTCATGAGATATAACGTTGTTTAAATAGAAAAGTTGTAGGTTATTCCATAAGCATCATGACCACAGATCCAAGTAGCTGAAGAGACTTTGACTGGTCTCCATGTGCAGCAGCGGGGACAAGCAGATCACATGGCGAGAGGAAGCAAGAGAGAGAGAGAGGGGAGGGGCCTGGGTCTTTTACACAAACAGCTCTCGGGGGAACTAATAGAGCGAGAACTCACTCATCTATCCCCCCAACTAGGGAGAGCATTAATCCATTCATGAGGGTTCTGCCTCCATGACCCAAACTCCCACACTGGAGATCAGATTTCCATGAATTCTAGGAGGACAATACATCCAAACTCCATCACCATGGTACTTAACTGTGCCTAGGCAGAAAGTTATTTGACATTGGAGGACTCAATTCTTCCCTATTTGTACAAGGCAGTAAAAGTAAGAACTGTACGAGGTACTTCAAAAAGTTTGTGGAAAATGGGATTAAAAGGTAGTATAAATCTTCCCATGAACTTTTTGAAGCCCCTTCATGTCTTTTACATCTATCCTACATTTTCTGCTGTATTCCATTGCACATAGTAGGAATGCAACACTTCTCATGGTCAATTGATGATCATCTGGATTGGGGATCAATAAACTTTCTCTGTAAAGGGCCAGGTAGTAACATGTTAGGCTTTGCAGGCTGTGGGTCTCTGTTAAAACTACTCAGTTCAGCTGTATTAGTGCAGAAGCAGCCATAGACAAAACATAAACAAAAGAACAGGGCTATGTTCCCATAAAACTTCATTTACAAAAACAGAAAATAGGAGCCATAGTTTACTGACACAACTGATGATCCAGACTAGTAGTAAAATTTGGGGGAGCTTAGAAAAGTTTATGGGATTTATCTCAATCATTTTCTCTTTTTGGTAGGATGTACAAGGGGCAGTTATTTCTTTTTCTTTTTTTTTTAATAATTGAAACATAATTGATTGTACGTATCTGTGGGGCCCAGCATTGAATATCAACACCAGTGTGCAATATGTGATGTTCAAATCAGGATAATTAGTATATTTGTCATTATACAATGTATAGATTTTCATGACCCTTTGCCAATTCCTCCCTTTCCCCTTTCCCATCTCTGGCAACATCAGTTCTGTTCTCTTAAAAAGTTCAATGTATTACTGTATTTATTTGTTTGTTTGTTTTATTAGCTACCACATATATGTGAGGATGTGGTATTTCTCTTTCTGTGCCTGGCTTATTTCATTTAACATAATTTTCTTTAAGTTCATCCATGTTGCAATGGCAGTATTTCATTCTTTTTTATGGCAGAATAGTATTCCATTGTATAAATACAGCACATTTTTCTTAACTATGCATCTCATGATGGGCATTTAGGTTGGTTCCAACTCTTGGCTATTGTAAATAGAGCTGCAGTAAGCATGAGAGTACTGGTGTCCCCTTGACATGATGATTTCCATTCCTTTGGGTGTAGACCCAGCAGTGGAACAGCTGGGTCATATGGTAGATCTATTGTAATCTTCTGAGGAACCTCCACACCGTTTTCCATAATACACCATTTTACAATCCCACCAACAGTATAGGAGGGTTTCCCCTTCTCAGCACCCTTGCCAGCATTTATTATTCTGTCTTTTTTATAATAGCCAGTGTAACTGAAGAGAGATATCTTAGTGTGATTTTGATTTATATTTCCCTGATGCTGAGTGATGTTAAACATTTTTTCATGTGTCTGTTGGCCATTTGTATATCTTCCTTTGAGAAATGCCTATTCAGCTCCTTTGCCCATTTTTAATCAGATTCCTTGTGTTTTTACTGTTAAGTTGTTTGAGTTCCCTGTACATTCTGGATATTAATCCTTTGTCAAATGCGTATTCTGCAAATATTTTCTCCCACTCTTTTGGTTGTCTTTTAGCTTTGTTAATTGTTTCTTTTGCTGTGCAGAAGCTTTTTAGTTTGATATAATCCCATTTGTTTATTTTTCCTTTTGTTGCCTGTGCTTTGGGGGTTGTATTCAGAAAGTCTTTGTCCAGTCCTATTTCCTGAAGTGTTCCCCCTATGTTTTCATTTAGGAGTTTTATAGTTTCAGGATGTATATTTAATTCTTTAATCTATTTTGAGTTCATTTTGGTATATGGCAAGAGGTTACCTGCATCATTTTTTTCCTCAAAGTACTTTCTAATCTCTTATGACATATTAGAGATAAAGGTAGAGTGAACTTTAGAAAAATTTTTATTTTGTGTTTGAAATTTCCCTGTATGTCTATATTATGTCCTATAAAATAAGTTTATTTTAATAATTTGCCATTAATCACAGTCTTCAAGAAACATAACCATTTTGGGAGTTGTCCCATAGAAAGAGTTTTTTATAATGGTAGATGGTACATTCATTCATGTTCTGAGTTTGGAATGTGCAATGTGACATTTGTGAACCCAATGCATTGTTGATGTTTTGAAGAGAGATTCTGAGAAGGAAGCAGTTTTATCAGTCAATCAGAGACCCAAATGTAAGGAAAGCCTTGGGAAAACAAATACAACACCAGGAATCTCATAAACTGTTCTATAGGTTACTTACTTTAAGCAGCATATTCTAATGCAAAGAGCATGGGCTTGGATTTCACATACGTCCGTGCTTGATTCGTGAGTCTACAACTGATGACCATGAGATCTTGAGCAAGGTAATTCAACATTCTGAGCCTCAGTTTCCTAATCTATAATTATATACATAAACATAGACATACACTAGATGTATAGTACAGTGTGTGGTATTTGGCTACCATTTATTTAGAGATGATGCTGATGGCGGTGATGATGATGGTGCCACCTATGGTCTGTGCCTTTATGTTAGATTTCACAGATGATCTTACTTACATCTTGGCAGTGAGGTTTATGCGATCAGTTCACAAGCATATATTTAATACTAAATGTGTACAGAGCCTTGTTCTACTGTTTATTAGGACTCAAATCTGGGACGAAAAACATTCACACACTGTAATGTAGAATAATTTTATAACTATTCTTAGAAGGAGGTAGCTTTTGGGAAAAGGAGCACTTATCACATTATAGTGAACAGGAGAAAAATGAATGTAACCTGCCCACATTGCTTAGGCATTTTCATATTCTCTGCTGTAGAAAAAGACCAGGATGTGTGTTTTCCTTTGGAAAATGTACCCTGCCCTTTGATGCTAATGCCACTATTAAGTGAACGTTTTGCATTGGTTTAGCTATCATTTTATCAGTTGCTCTAACCCAAGTAATAAACTTAGACAAGACATAAATTTTCTGTGACTAACTATTCCACATGTAAAATGGGTATTAAAATACTTACACTGACCTCATAGGGTTGTTAGGAGGGTCAATTGATGAAAATACCTAAATGCAAGAAAATGTGAAATGCTGCTTTTATATTTTCATTACATAGAGCAGAGAAATGTACACCATTAATATTTTCCTGAAAAAAATCACATGCATTAATCCATTAAACTAAAATGGTGTAGAACATTTTGAGGACAGAAGAAATGATCATGTTTCTGTGTGTGCCCCCTTTGGATTCACGTTTGAAATTGCTCTTTCAATAGGGTTTGCCCCCATCAGCGGAATGTGCAGTAAGTACCGAAGTTGTACAATCAATGAGGACACGGGACTTGGCCTGGCCTTCACCATTGCTCATGAGTCAGGGCACAAGTAAGTGGCTCCTTGATTCACCACTTTATGTGAAAATTGGTGAGGCGATTCATTGGTGTTCCTGTAATGATTATTATTGATCGGATAAATAGTTCCTGACTGTTTGAAGGGCTTAATAAAGGCTGGTTATAGTTGATGACATTCTTCAAATAACAGCATTTAATAGCCACACAGTATTACCTTATGTGCACAAATAGTCCACATGTTACTTAACCAACCCTCTGGTCTTTCAGGCATTTGTTTATTTTCTTTCACGTTATACTGTGGTAAAGATGCTTTTCGCTCTAATTCTTTATACTAAGGAAATAACATGGAGACATGTACATTTCCAGAATGTAATGGCATGCCAATTTAAAAAAAATTTTTTTGATGTACGTATTAGATATTCTTTTAGTTGGTTACATTGTGTGTATTTAATATTCTTTAAGTTGGTGTTAATAAATCTTCCTTTTGTGAGAATAGACTTAGAGATGAGGAATGAGAAACCTAAGAGTGATGAGATAAATTCATTTTATGAAGCATATAATCTGGCATGGAGACAATGCTACAGAGAATTTTCAAACTTTATTTGAACGCTAGCAGCTGCATTGGAAAAAGCATACTGCTTTACAAAATGACATTCACAGACTATAATGTAGTTTAAGATAGACTCTTGAGGGCTGGCTGGAATGATTTTATAACTTCTCTTGGAAGGAGGTAGCTTTGGGGAAAAGGAGCATTTATCACATTACAGTGAACAGGAGATAAATGAATTTAACCTGCCCATACTGGCCATTTATTCCAAAGGGCAGTGCCCTTTGGATATACAAATTTAGGAATGTTTGTGTGTGTGTATATATATGTGTGTACATGCATATGTGTATATTTTATTCAACAAATAACTTTTATACATTTTCAGAGCATCCAATGAATTTCTGCCTTAAAAGCAAATATCATTCATTCAGCAACTATATCAAAACTTATATTTTGATATTTTGAGGCTGGTATCTCTTATGAGTTAGATTTATTATCTTCAGGATATTTGAATCTTGTTACCCAACAGTTTCCCAGGATTTTATATATATACACACACAACCACTTTTTTAGTGAGGTATAAATGAACTGATTTTTTTGTGAACAGTGGTACAAAAATGTCTGTCAAGCACAAGTCTCTTCTGAAGAGAGCAGGAAATAAAATATCTGTTCATGTCAAACATTTGTATAATTTGTTTCACCAGCATGAAATCTGAATTAACAGGTCTCACTTTTCAAGATACTAGCTGTTGAAAATTTTAATCATACTTGTTATGGGTTAAAGTTATACAAAATCAAAATCCAACATTTTAGATAAGAAAAAAACAAAAACATATTCTTCAGGTATGTGGGAGAGAGGAGTCAGAGGTGAAGGAAGAGCTGATATAAAATAAGGCACATCTTCAAGTTCTGGATAACATGGCCTTATAGAGTTAAATTTTGAAACAGAAAACAGACAGTTCCTGAGTTTTAGAGATGACTTGTGACATGTGCTAAGGAAAATACGTATTATTTTCTAAAATATTGTTAAATCAAAGTTAGGAAATTTAAAAATTATAAGTTCAAAATTTAATTCAAATTTGGTTTTCTTATGCTCATAAAACTCCAATAAAGTGCTTATTAAGTACCTTTTTCTATATGAGTAATGGCTTCAGTCTCTCCCATCTGGGATTCTTGCTCTTTTCTCTGGTGGTTTATATTCAATATAGGTTGCCTTCTGTTTTTGACTAGGATATATGTATTTATAAAGAATGTCTCCCAAACAAATCCCCTTAGCTTGCTGGTTAAGTACAAAGAAGAGTCGAATTAGACAAAGCTGAGGATGACAAAATGCTTTTCCTGATTATACGGTGAGGTTAATAAATACCTATTTGTGAATAGTCACCTCTAAATACCTAGGAAATTCACTGATAGGATCACAGTATACAGCAATCCTGCTATCACTTGCCTGACAAATTGGAAGGAATGCTAGAAAAATGGCTAGATTATAGACATGGGTCACAACAAAATCATATCTATGGTTATAACATACTTATTTGGTATAGACTACCATTAAAGGATACTTATATAAATGAAATTATATCAGAATATCATGTTTATTTCCATAGCAATCTTATCTGCTTTATAAAAATATGTTTTCAAAAGGCAAATTTTACTCCTTTAAACAAAGAGATTAAGAACAATCTAATGATTAAATTTATATCTATATCCCTCCATTTTCTCATAGAATTCACTTAGAATAAGTCCTTCACATGCTTTCAATAGACAGATTCAACCATTAATTTTTAAAGATGCTTATATGGGAGTTTGAATATAATCAGTTTGTAATTTCAGCTAATAAATTGATCATCACTGGAGAGTTTTTTTGTGATGTTAGCCTCATGGGTGAACAGTCCATAAGCAACTTATATTCAACTTCTGTCTATTTCTACTCTTCACTCTGAACTTCCTTGCCATAGTTCTGCGATTGGTGTCATCATCACTGGAGAGTTTTTTTGTGATGTTAGCCTCATGGGTGAACAGTCCATAAGCAACTTGTATTCAACTTCTGTCTATTTCTACTCTTCACTCTGAACTTCCTTGCCGTAGTTCTGCGATTGGTGTCAAAAAAAAAAAAAAAAAGAATTTTTCTATTTGAAATAAAATAATTTGACTATCCCATTACTTTAGTTTAGCTTAGAAATCTTAACCAAAATTTTCTAGCCCTTAAAATATATAGCCAGGTACCTTATTCTTTGGTTTTGTGGCCAAGACATAATATAACAAAGCCCTTAGTACTCTTTAAAAATTTCTGCATAAATTTTTATAATAGTTTATAGTAACTAATTTTTGTCCTTCTCTTTCTTACAATTTCAGTAATTCTGTCTGTCTCTTGGGTTTGTTTCCTATCAGTGCATCATTTCTCTTCACCTGGTTATAACTTGGAAAATGGGTTCACAGTAGATTTCTTACAATTTCAGTAATTCTGTCTGTCTCTTGGGTTTGTTTCCTATCAGTGCATCATTTTTCTTCACCTGGTTATAACTTGGAAAATGGGTTCACAGTAGAGTTTTTGTTTTCTTTCTGTTTCAGCTTTGGCATGATTCACGATGGAGAAGGCAATCCCTGCAGGAAGGCTGAAGGAAATATCATGTCACCCACTCTGACCGGAAACAACGGGGTGTTTTCATGGTCTTCATGCAGCCGACAGTATCTCAAGAAATTCCTTAGGTAAGACAGGTTAAAGCTAGGGCTGTTCCCAGGTTTGTAGTGGTGAGAGAGAATAGTGCTCAATAGACAGGAAAACAAATACTCGTGGAAATCTCTTTTGACCTCTCAGTGAACGGAAAGATGGAGGTTGTAGTTGAAGAAACAGATTGAAGGCTTCTACTGTGCTAAATGTTCTCCTCATATGGTCTCATTTGGTTGTTACAGCAATCCTGTTATTATCCTCATTGCAGAGTTGAGGAAATTGAGCCGTAGAGAGGTTACTTGTGTTGCTTAAGGTACTATAGCCGGTAAGTTGCGGACAGGAGACTCACACTTAGGTCTGTTCTGACTCCAAGATCCGTGCTGATAACCAATACTCCTCAGTGATTTCCAGAGGCAGCTAGATATATTGTCTCTTTACTATGACTACTTATTTTAATCTGATCAATTCGCTTGTCCTAAGAGTATTAGAAATGCTCAAATGGTGGGAGTTTTTTTGTTTGTTTGTTTGTTTGTTTGTTTAATGAATGGAGTGTTTTCTTGATTGGCTGTTTTGTTTAAAATGGCCAATAGTTAGCTCTTATGTCCAAAAGACATCCAAGGGGGATGACAGCTACGTGAAATCTTTTGATAACTCAGAACTCCTAGATTGCATTAGTAAAAGTGAGAGTTAGGAAGGTAGGTAACACTATTTGATTCATATTAAACAATGGAACCAAAATTAAGTTATATGTATGCAAATATATGTTTTTAATTTACTTTGGCCTACAAGAACAGTTAGGTTCTAATCCCATCTCCCTTTGACTAGATGTTAGGGAAGTTTCTTTAGGAATTGATATTCTTGAAACTTTTTTTTACCTGTACCACTGCATATTATTTGCAAATGTTTATGGAATTAGCAAGATACTTAGGCAAAGCAGATTAAACGTAAGGATGTCTTACCAAATGATGTCCAAAGGGTAGTACAAAATTGACAAACCTTTTGCTAATAATAAACTTTGCCACATAGATTTTCTTGTTAGTTTTAAATTCAGGATTTGGGTTCTAAAACTATCTCTTCTAACTCATTTGAGAATGTAATCAATAAATATTATAAGTCAAGATCAACTTGATATAGACTGAATTTCCATCATTAATATGCTAAAGTTAAGTGACTTTGGAAATAATAATGGTAACAGCAGCAGTAGCAGCTAACTTTGAATGCTTACTCAGCGGTGTTAAGCATGTTACATTTTCTTGTTTGATTGGTGTAACAACCCTTTTGGGGGCCAACATCATCAATGAGTTGTATAAAAATCATATAACTTGGTTTTGCATGGTTGACTAGGACCCCATCTGTCTGATTCCAAAATTACGCTTAAATAGCCATACTATTTAACCTCTCAGTGATATCATAGTTTAATTGTTTAAGTTAATGGAGATAAGTGCTTTCTAAGAATATCCATGTCATCAAGATTGCCTTTTTTGTTCTCAAAACGTCCCAGTCAAACATACCTCAGGGATATTTTTCTGCCTCATGCTCATTGTACCCTTTCTCTTGATTATTTCAATAACCAATTTATTTTTGTTTGTAAAGCTTATTTGAGGTAAAGTACATCTTTGCCTTCTGCCCTATTATCTGTAAAAAATAAAGGATGATGGAAAACTGCATGAAGACAGGTATTGTCTCTGTCTGGTTTATTTTGTACCTTTGGTGCTTAGCCTAATGCTAAGTAGCACCTAATAAAAATTTGTTGAATATTGTTAAACAAAACTGTTGATGGGAGTTTTCAAATATGTTGATCTTTCCCATCTTTTATCAATTCCCAAGAACTCCCAGCACCGTAAAACCCATCCTGGCTGTGTACATTCCATCCTCTCAGACAGACCTCACTCTTTGGAGTAAACCCATGTTTTAACTTCAGGCATAGACCTGTTTGTCCAACCATGCTGTATTTTTCTTTGCATAAATGCATTCAGAGGTGTCTCGTTTTACATGGAAAGATCACAGGTCAACACAGTAATTAATAGGGGTGTTATCACTACAGCACACCTCAGGCTGGGTGTCTCGTGGACGAGCCCAAAAAAACAGGACAGTATAAATACCCGGACAAGCTGCCAGGACAGATTTACGATGCTGACACACAGTGCAAGTGGCAATTTGGAGCAAAAGCCAAGTTATGCAGCCTTGGTTTTGTGAAGGTATGTTTGCTTGTGATTTCAGACTTACATTAAGATTCTGCAATGTGTCTGTGTACCTAACAGAAGTATAAACATTTGGCTTGCTAAGGCCAAGGGTCAGAGTCTGGGTTATCTCTAAAATGTCAGTTGTTTGGCATGATAATTAAATGGCAATTTTACTGTCAATGAATTATCCAGGCTTATCACCCATAGACTGTGCTGGTTTAAATACCATTTAACTGCATCCTTGGAATAAAATTTCTCTTCCTTAAATGAATACTTTATCCCTAGTAGTAAATCTGGGAATAACTTTTAGCTACTGCTAATCACTGTTTTTGTTCTCTTTGTGTTCATATTCCCTTTTATGGTAATACATTTTAAATCATCACCACCCCATAATGCATCATATGCCTTATATAGTATGGGAAAACTGTTATTGTCAGCCAACTTATGACATGCAAAAATTCAAGGTATATCTTGAATAATCTTAATAAGATTTTTGTCTTCCATTCAAAAATTGTGAAAAAGACAAATAGAAAAATGCAGAAGTCTAGGATGTAAAAATGAAAAAACCTTGTTCCACTTGGTCCAGATTTTCATCACTGACAGTTACTGTCTCAATACCACCAAAAAATAGAATCATTTTGAAGTTGGTTTATTCCCACTGTCCAAAGAGAAATACGGAAGTCCTAGATACTGGGATACATGGAAGTTCTGCAGGTTTATAGCTCCTCTTCCTCTCTCTACTCCTATCAGTCCTTTTTTTTTTTCTGCTCCTCCTTTCTCCTTATTCTTAATTCTCTACCACCACCCACCACCACCACCACCGTTATCACCATCACCACCAGCGGTAGCAACACCACCTCCTCACCACCACTCAACCACTTCTCACCACCACCATCTACCACCATCCACCACCACTATCATCCAACCTCCAACACTCCTTATCCTTACCACCACCTCCACCACCATCACTACCATCACTACCATCATCCGCCACCACCATCACTACCATCCCCCC